ACCCTATACAGGGTCACTATGGGTCAGAATGGACTCAACAGCACTTCACAACAACAACAGCCCCAGTAAGAGTCCTGGTGTGGCGCTGTGCGCTAATGCGTCAGACTACAAAGTCATCCCCGGAGACCCTATACAGGGTTGCTATGGGTCAGAATTGACTCGACAGCACTAACAACAACAACTTTACCAAGCCAGGTTCTTTCTTCAAGGACTGCTCCCTTTTGATAACATGTTTAAAAGGATGAGACCAGTCTTGCCATCCTCACTTCTAAGGAGCATTCTGACTGTACTTTTTCTAAGACAAATTGGTTCATTCTGCTGCCAGTCCATGGTATATTTAATATTCTTTGCCAACACCAAATTCTGTTTATGTTTTATAAAGTTTTGATACAAGTATTGGCCTATCTTACGTATCATTGCCAAAGAAAATTATTTCTAAAAATATCCAAGCAATGATACTTTCTGACCCAGATAGTCACATAAACACCTATTACCTATCAAAAAATATTGCCATCTCATCTGTTTCTTTCTGACATTCACAATGCACCCTTGGGTCCCTAGAATCTACCTCACTTGATCTGCACTGTTTGGGACTTATTTGGCAAGTAACCTATTTTGTAGTGGTTCAGTGGTAGGATTCTCACCTTTCATGAAGAATCTGTTACTACCCAATGCACCTCATGTACAATCATCACCCATTTGCCAATGGAGACTTGTGTTTTACTGCAATGCTCAACAAGTGCCAGCGAAGTCCCAGAATGAGACAGACTAGGAATAAAGACCTGGAGATATACTACTAAAAAATCAGCCAGTGGAAACCCTATGGGTCATCACAGACTGTAATTGATTGTGGGAATGGCAGAGGACCAGGCAATGTTTTGTGCCATTGTGCTTGGTGTCACCATAAGTTAGGTGAACTCACTAGCAGCTAACAATAACCACATGCTGTCACATATAGAAAGCCTCTTCTCAATACCAACACCCTTCCATCCACCCATGACACTTGAAGACCTGTGTTCAAGGCCCTCCACAAAATTCTCACAACTATACCCCTCCTCTTCCTTGTCTGACCACTCAGAAGTATTTACAAAGTATCCTCCAACTTTCAGGGCCTTTATTCCATTTCAATTACATTGTAATTATCAGGACCAAGGAGTCCTAGTGTGATGCTATGTGCTCATGTGCTGGAATGCTAGGTCGGTTTGAACTGCAAGGTTGGCAGTTGAAGCTCAGCAGCCACTCCTCAGAAACTGACTGTGAGGCAGAACTGACTGGAAGGCACTAAACAACAACAACAAAAAAGGAGTACCTGATCCAAGCCATGGTGTTTCCAATAGACTAATACATATAAAAGCTAGACAATAAATAAAGAACATCAAAATTCTGATACCTTTGAACTGTGATGTTGGCAAGGTATACAAAGCATTATGGGATACCAGAATAATGAACAAATCTGTCTTGGAAGAAGTACAGATC